ATGTCAATTTAATTGGAGCAAACCAGAGAGTATGCCAATTCAAATTATAAACGCCATAATTTGAGATATGTAATTGTTAATCGAAACACGAATGATCTATATTGCTTAAACTGAATTGGGGTGTGCGATAGACTTACCTCCACGTGGTGCACCCTGGGCAACGTATAATCATGAGGCAAAAAAGTCTATAAACCGGCAGTTGACTTCAAACTTCAAGCGATCATGACCCCACTGTATGGTATATTCGATCACTTCCAAAGTACTCACCCCACCTTTCATCTACCTTTGTGTCTGTCTCTTTTACATCTTTAAAACACTCTCTTGTTCCCTCCCCCTCTCGACTTTTTTCGATTTGACGTTCCTCACCCTCTGTGAAGCCTGCAGTCAACTAAAGGGCTTATGATAACTATCATATAGCCTACCATTTGATATAAATACTTAAACTGAATTTTATTATCATCGGCGATTTCTCACAACCATCAGATGGCGACTTACAAGAGAATGCTGAATAATTTATCTAAAGCTAAAATTTTTTACCAAAATTAACAAAATCGGATCTAAATCCAACGTTACGATCGGGTTGGAACTTGAAAATGTGCCACGTGGACTCAGTTGGACATGGATATGAATCTGCTTTTCTTATTGCAAACTATGTATTTCAATAATTACTTTCAATTCGTCTGAGAAAGGGAAAAATTCCTCATCCATATTGGCCATGTTTAAATAATTGTGCAAGGTCACATTATTATAAAAGTAACTTGAAGTCCAGCCATATGAGAAGTTATACCTGATTTTACTTTCGAAGGTTACATTCACCATCCTTTGAAATATGAAGTCATTTCTAACTTGTCACCATTAAGCTGGAAGTTATCAAATTTTACTACTCATTCGACCACTATGATAGCAAACATTTATCGATTTTAGTAGTATTTTGCATGATTTCATGATACAATAATAGCATACGTAGTCAACGCTGATTAATATATAATTTGGGTACTTTTGTTGCACTGTTAGATATCAATTTCTCCACCCCCTTTCCAGTCCCCATGAGTCATACTATATGTGCTGCTGGTTTCGAATCCACATAGATTAATGAGTCATACGTGTTACTTTGGCGGCCGCCACGCCACAGACGCATTGTTTCGTAGTTAATGACTTTGTCTGCTCAGACTACTTTAAATAGTAAGTGAGACAGGTAGCTGATCAGCCAATTTAATTAAGGAATGATTACTCACTGTAGTAATATTGGTAGTTTAGGTGATAATGAACCGCAAATGTGACTTCAATTTGATAGTCATTTAAAATCGCAATATTATCTAGTTATCAATAGAAAAAAATTCAATATATGGACCGCAATAGGTAGAATTAATCACAGCGCAGCACTCATATTGAATGTAGATCATGATTTGCGCTCCTATTTCCGCTTAATTCAAGACGATTGGAATGATTTAAAGGCCTACAACCATGTATGCAATCCTCTCCGCCATTTTAATTCAGCTTGACTTGTGGCAGGATTAGGCTCAATGGAATATTTTGTGACGGTCAGAACTTTAACACACAAGGCAGTTTAGAGACTTGACTAAGCCAAACTTTTGAGAGTAATTGCCTTTTCTGACACTGCACCGCCGTCAACCCTGCGCACACTGTCAAGGCATCAACAATGCAGTCTGCGGAGCACACTGGTGGAAACGTTCGGTAAACTTCTGAGGAACATTAATTACTTGTCCCGATTCTAAGACTGTGAAATTGGACTATGTTCGTCTGTGCCCAGGACTTCACCCGCTGTCTTTCAAAATAACTGTTTACAAATATTTCCACTAATGTACATTTTTTTGGACACAGAATCCTTAATTCAATTGAATTGTGTTTGACTATGAATTTCAAGCAAGAATTGTTTTTAATTTTTGTTTTACTCTCACTTAAATATATGCTTTATTGAGTTATGCAATATATCGGCAATATATAACTTATTTGCTGAAAACAAATTTAAAGCGACTTTCACTTGTTATCATTGAAAAGGTGAAAATATCTAATTTTTCTTCTAAGCAAGATATCTTACCACAATGATCAATGAGATTATCAAATATGAATTAAGAAAATAACATTAAAATGACTTGGATGATTGTTAAAACAAACCTAATGCAATTAAATCGGAATTTTCATAAAGTACCATTTCAGGTTTCAAGAAACAAATATCCAACTCTTATAGTCTACTTTCTGGGCGATAGACTTGCCTCCACGTGGAGCACCCTGGGCAACGTATACTCATACGGCCAAAAAGTCTATTAAACGGCAGTTTACATCGGTCTTCAAGCTACCATCACCCCAAAACCGGCAGTTGACTTCTGACTTCAAACTACCATGACCCAAACGGCAGTTTACATCGGTCTTCAAGCTACCATCACCCCACTGTATGTCATATTTGACTACTTCCACAGTTCTCACTTTAACGTTTTTCCACCTTTGTGGCTGTCCCTTTTACATCTTTGAGACACTCTTCTTCACCCATCCTTTTGACATTTCTTCACTTTGATGTTCTTTCCTCTCTGGGAAGCATGATGTCAACTAAAAGGCTAATGATAACTAACAAAACGCTTGCCATTTGATAAAATTAAATAAATATTCTAGATAAAATTAAATAAACCTGAACCTATGAAACAAATTACTTGTTTAAAAAGACACAAAACCACTTAGGATATCTCCTTGTTTGTTACGACACTAATCCAGGCTAATAGTAAAATACTTTAAGTTTCGTTCAGATTAGCATAAAAATGCATTTAAACATGTAAATATTGAGGTTTATAATAAAATTAAAGACCAATTTCAAAAGAGTTTGACAAAAAATGATTATATTTTAATTTTACGTTTTTCTTAAGTTTCTGTAATCTTGACAGCAGATGAGACGGATTGATGCAACAGAATTTTGATGCACTTTTAAGGCAACATGATTTGTTTTGACTTCTTTCTCGCCTTTTTCTATAGATGTAGAGCTATTTTTTAATAGCTAAATTCCGAGAAGCTACATTTTGCCGGATTATTGCAAAAATTATTTCCTAGTGTTATCGATGAATAAAACTCATCATTCTAAATCAAAATTTCCTTGCTTTTATTGTTCAGTCATAATATATCCTCAATTGACAGTAGTATACCATGTTAAATTCAGTAGGTAAAGGTCTATTAACATTTCATTCTATGCATATTCTCGCTCATTAATTGACGATATCATTTATAAATCCATAAATCAAGTTTGAAGTAGTATTATTATCGAAAAAGAAAATTTTAGTTAAGAAAGTTCCGAAAAAATAGGATTGCTTGACCTGACCAATTACCACCCTTGGTGATTTCATATATTTAAACAAATTGGCAAGTGAAATTGGGCCTAGGTAGAAAAAAGTTCTTTGAATGTATTTTTATTTTTTTTCATCTAAATGATAAATGGTCAAATAACATTAGTTTAATTGAGTTTTAGTGATACAATCCGGGAATTAGACATTTTAAACTTAAAAAATGTTTTTGCTGATAATACCACTAGAATAAACTGGATAATTCAAATGAAGGTCAAAGCTATTTAATACATTTTATTGACTTATAGATGACCAACAATAACCAATTATCCGCTACAATGACATCAGTGTTGAGTTATTCTCCCACCTGGTTCGTGAAGTAAGTAATAGGCGAAACATCTAGAACCAGATCAGTATTGCCTGGGGACCATCTTCAATTGCGCGAGATTATTATTATTTTAATAGTTTCACTTCATTAAAAGAAAGAATCAGATTCGTCGCGTTAGTTAATATATCACTCTGATGGTCCTAACTTCTCAATGAAACAACAAATCATCTCTGTTTCCACATGATAAACATGATTAAACTACACGAACTATTTGTCAAAGAATAGAATACATTAGTAGTCAAAACTTTCTCATACAGTAACATGCAAACAGGAAGTAATTAGTAATTATATATGTATGTGTGCGTGTCTACATGAAAAAAAAATGAGTGTGAAAACAATTTTGAAGGGACAATATCATCCAGCAAGATTTGTGTATGCACACCTCTGCGGCTTCTGGGAAAATTGTCTCAATCTCGGTAAGTATGACGGTGATTTTGAAGTCTGTATTTTAGGACAGGTATCAAGTCGGTAAAGCAGTGAATAATGTCCAAGAACGGGACTTCTTTCCACTTGTATTTGGTCAAGACACTTTGTGATTTTCTGTAGGGCACTGCAAACATCATCCTCGTCAATTCTCGAAAGTCCTGCCTCCTCTAGCTCATTCGTTAAGTCGGATTGAAAATCGGGATGTTTAAGAGAGGAAATCGGTAGCACGGGTGACTTGGAACATGTTCTTTTGGGTGGAAGAGGAGGAGGAAAATTTTTATCAACATATCTTACATCTGGCGCCATAGAGGCTACACGACCTCTTTGTTTGCTAGCTTCCATACTTCGAGAACAACGTAATTTTGCCACGATATGATCAGAGTGATCACTGGGACTTCTTTTTAACCAGGAATTTGTACAGAGGACACTTGGATGTTTGAGACGCATGGAGAGATTTTCTGGCATTGTGGAACTCCGGTATGGCAATACAGGGACTGTGGAACATAAAGAATCAGCTTCCATTGAGTTTTGGGCTATTATTCCAGGGAGACATTGAGTCTGGAAATTGCTATCCATAATGAGCCGTTTATGACAAATTTGAAATGGCATCAAATGCTCTTGTAACAGCTGACACTGTTGACGGCGATTGGTCACTAAGTATCGGCCATTTATTGGCTAACATACTATGCGCCAATGAAAGCACGCAGTTCTTCCTAGTGTCAGTTTCTATTACCTTTAAGTGAGTTGATTAATGATAATTTCTTTAAAATGTGCAACTTAAAAGAAACACGGTAAACTTGCCTTCTATTTGTTTGTCAAATAATAGAATTCATATAATATATAAACGACGATATTTCAAACATTTGACCGGAAAATAATTTTGACAGATATATTAGGAAAATGTAAGTATAATAAAATAAAGATTAGACCATTCCAACCTCTTTACTATCTTCATAGGTAAGTCTGTGATTGATGGTAAATATCTATTTATTTCAAATGGCAGGCTTTTAGATATTTATCATTAGTCCTTAAACTTTGACTCCAGCTTCCCCCATAGGTGGGGGGTACATTTATAGCAGTTAATTATTAGCAGTTCATTAGCTGTCTTCTTGCTTCCCAGTATCTCTGGCTTTCCGTCGTCGTCTTTAGAGCTGGACTCCAAATCCGGTGGGTCTTCTCCATTTCCCCCTGTAGGTTACATAGGGGGCATGTGGGTTGAGTGTATACTCCCAATCTGTGAAGGTGTTTTGCCAAGCAATCATGTCCGGTCTAAATTCAGCAACGGCTTCGATTCTTGGCCAATAGGATATGTCAGAGAGTGCCACTGTCCACTTTTTCTCCTTTGTTCGAGCTTTAAGGTCGTTGCACCTTGAGGTCTTGAATTCTCTCCTGATTAAGGCCTTCATTGTGTGAAAAGACATAGGGCGGTCAATGCATCGCAAAATCGTTGTCCTCTTCTTAGCAAGTGTGTCAGCAAGGTCATTGCCTTTAATGCCACAGTGACCAGGAATCCATTGTAGGACCACTGTTTTGTTTTTCTCTCTCAGCAGCTCATAGAGTTTTCTACATTCCTTTATCTCAGCTGTTTTGGATGGCTATCTACTTCCAATTGAGTTTATTGCTGACTGTGAGTTCGAAAGTATCATTTGATTTGACTTCTATTTATTATGATGATAAATATAAATTTTCTTAAGTAAAAACGCATTCTATATGGCAAACTAAAGCGAAATGGGACTCTTATCGTCATTGGAAAATATAATTATTTANGGAAGATATAACATCTTACATCCTTACATCCAGAGAAGCACGAATAGACCATGAACGACGTTTTGTGATGGCAATGCCACTACTGCACATGATTGTGTGTTAGTTGATTACTGCTCAACCACCCAATCACTTTGTGGCTTTAAATCTTCTTCGTTTGCTGTGGCTAAGAAAAAAACATTTAATTATTTATTTATTTCAAATGGCAGGCTTTATGATATTTATCACTTCATTAGCCCTTAATCTTTGACTTCAGCTTCCCCCAAAGTGCGGGGGGGGTACATTTATAGCAGTTAATTAATAGCAAAGGGGGGGGGTACATTTATAGCAGTTAATTAATAGCAGTTCATTAGCAGTCTTGTCTTTAGGGCTGGACACCGAATCAGGTGGGTCTTCTCCATTTCCTCGAGGGGGCATGTGGGTTGAGTGCACACTCCCAATCTGTGAAGGTGTTTTG